ATTTTTATCTTTTTTAAATTAATTCAATAGGGGTAGTAAAAATTAAAAAAGCATGGTGGTGAAATGACCAAAATACCATTGGCTTGCCTTCTGCAGGGGATGAACGTATATGCAAAAAAAGACACACCTGTCTTATACGTACACTCGACCATAACCCTAACATCTATTTCGTGTTTAAAATATATATATTATCGGTTAAAAGTTCGGGCTTGAATCTTCACTCACATGTATTTTTTTTATCGTTTTCTAGAGAAAAATAATGATCCATACCGTAATAATCTTTTTACCCTCTACCATTTTTAACTTTGTTAACTATTGAGAAGAAATTCAAATTTTTATTAGTAAACCAAAGATTAAAAAAATTAAAATAAGTATAACAATATTAAAAAATAATAAAGAAAGAGAGAGGAGGGGATGTTTTTATCGAGGAACATTATAAGGGCTCAGGAGAGAGAAAAAAGTATAATAGTTTCAGGTTTTTTCTTTAATTAAAACAAATGTGGTGGTGGAATTAAAATCTAAATTAAGACGTTAATACGATATGTTTAGAATTTGAATGAATTTATGCATGATACAATAGATAGGTAGATAATCATGCACGCTTTGATAAGTCTATGTGTTAGTGTCAAAAGGAGCATAAATGTGATTTTTTAAGATATAAATAACTTAGCAGGGTGATGCACGATATAATTTCAATTCTAGAAAAATTAACTTCTTCACAGTATTGGTTATATCTTCTTAAGTCATTAAGTGGGATGTGACATGTTGGATTAATGTGGAGGGCGACGATACGCTATCAGGTGTGCTCTCTATTCCAATTACATTCAATATCTAGCATGTCCACCTTTAAACAATTTTGAAGTGACTTCAATTTGCTTTTGTATTTTATCATTTTTCGATTTTTGTGGTGGAATTTGGAACAAATAGTTATTCGTCTCATATTGATCGAGTTATCAAGTTTTCTAATCTTACTTGGACAAAACTCTTAAATACCTAATTTAACTATGATCTCTTTGAAACTACGTAAGTGGGGCAACAAATAAGTGGATATGCACATATCCCACATGTAACCAAACACAATTCATTTCTCGTCTTAAACTCAAAGACTTCCTCTTGAACATATCTTTAAAAAGTTATTTAAAAAGGTTATTTTAAATTCAACCCCAAAAAATCAAAAGGGATATAAATTCAAATATTTAAAAGTGAAAATAAAACCATAAAAATAAAATTTCAATATTAGTAATATGGTAATAATATTAGGTGTAATAGGTCCTAGTAGTGACACGTGGGACCTGTAAAACCTTAGGTGTGGGACCACCCAAGTGCCTTTGGGTAATGTTAGGCATACTGTCTTCCGAAGTAGGTTTTCTTCCACTACATGGTCGTCGTGTCCTTCCAAAGATGCGATTATATCTTTTTCTTTTTTGTTACCTAATTAAATTATGTTTTGAAATTAAAAAAGCATATCTAAATTGTTGAGGTAGGATTTGGATAATAAAAAAAAGATCATCTAAAATGCATCTCACGCTTCAATCCTTTCATTTCTTCGAATTGGTCTGAGTGGATCTACTCGATTGAATCAGGTTGAGTCTAGTATGTTGATCTTGCCGTTCAATTTGAATGAAATAGTCCGATTATTTCCTTTACTTTATTTTCGGATCACACCCTAATAAAAATCAAAATTCTACCTTGATTTTTTTTAGTAAGAAAATAAGAGGTTAACTTGGACAATGGATAACTCCCTTTTTTTTTCCATCCTTTTAAGAGTTTGAATTTCAAATTTTCATTTAGAAATACTTTCTTGTTTGTTTGTTTATTTTACAGGTTTCCTATTTGAAACATTTCCGTACAAAAAGAAATTGGATTTTTCCTTTTTCTTTCGGTTGATATCAATATTTATTTATTCATTTTTATTATTTAATATTTTAATGGTTCTTTCTTATCTTCTTACGGTTTTATTTTTAGATTTTTCTTTTTTCTTTTTCTGATATCAAAATATTTATTTATTTTTAATTATTTGGAAACAACAGAAGGAGGAAGGTAAAAGGCTTAACTATTGAGAGAGGAAGTCAGAAGAATTTTATTTTTCTTAAAAGGAAAAGAATTTTATCTTGAACTATACTTAAATGGACTACGGAGTAGTTTTGACATTTTTTTTCATACCATAAAACTGTATTTTAAAATAATAACTTAGCATCTAGTTAAATTTTAATCAAAATTATTTTTTATTTTTTAAATTTATTAAAATAAAGACACGCAAGTATTCCAATTTCCATCTTACACCTTAATTTTTTCTATATAAACGTTAATCTAATTTTTTTAGCAAATATTAGAGGTAATACTACATTTTATTAGTCTAAATACTACATGTATATTATTTTATAAAACACGACATAATAAATGAATTGATGGATTAAATTTTATATATGTACACATATTGATATTTTAACTAAAAATAAAGTAAATTGACTTACTTTTTTTAGTTCGTGATTTAAACCTTTAATATTTTAGTTGGTGGTATATGTCTATTCACTGCATCGGGTCAGTTGCATCGATAATACATACTCAATTATTATTACAGTCTATCTCAAAATTTTAAAAGAGTTTTTATTCAAAATTAAAAAATGAAAAATCAATGCTCCAAAATTAGAATCTTGATTTTTTAATCTATTTTCTTCTGACATGGCATGATAGCCAATATGGATCAAATACTTCTTAAAAAAGTAATAAACAAATCTATCCATAAATATTTAACTTTTTTATCAATCGTATTTATTTATCCTAAAACATCCTGACCCTTTATTCATCGGAAACTAAAATAAAAATCAATTGGAACAATAATATTATTTATTTGAGACTGTTTACTAATGAATAAATCTATTGAAATTTTCAAATTCAATGTTTTAACGTCATCCCATCCATTTTTAGTCTCATCATTCATTTTCTCAATTTTTAAGTTAAAAGAATTAAAAAGTTTAATAAATGTTAATACGTTTTCAAATTTTGTTAGATTTTTAATATGAGTTTCCTTTCACCCTAAAATCATAATACGAGTGTTAACCAGATTTTTTTATTTTGTCATTATTGTAAAAAAATATAATTCAACTTCACATATCCATTTATATTTTAAATCATCATCACACCCTGGCGATCAAACCAAAAAACCATTTGGTTTGGTATTGTCACTGATATTTTAAAACTATAATCAATGTACATTAAGTAATTATTGATTATCATAAAAAAAATCGAAAAAAAAGAAATTATTGATGAAACAATACACTTAAAGTTAATAGTTTAATAGTTTAATGAGTTCCCTCTCAATCGTCCGGTAGATTGGTTAGGGGAACATGGTGTTCATTGTTGGACAATAAAGGACAAAATAGGAACCAGGAGGTAAAAAACGTTGTGCTGTGGGCGGAACCACTGCCTTGAAAGCAAAATCGGCACGACCTCGGTGCTAAATCGTTTTACTGCCGGTATGCTCCCCAAGGTTAACACAACCTCCAATTCAGACGTTCACTCGTCGAAATAGGAGTGGAATCAATCTCGTGCTCAGTTAAGATAGTTGAGAGAGGTGGAAAAGTGAAGGAATTGAGTGGAGATTGAGATGAATGGGATGATCTGAAATGGAAGGGGAGTCAGCTTTTTATAGTGACGTGGTAGCCCAAAATAGAATTGAATTTTTAAAAAATAAAAAAGGAAAATCAGGCTCGAGCCCGACGACGGCGCACGTGTGGGCCTTGATCTTGGTTTTCCTCGCACCAAGTTTATAAGCCAACCTACTTCCCAAAGGTTATTCTTCCGATGTGTGGGACAACAAAAGGTTTTAATATTTGTCATTCCCAACATTCATGTCATACATCCTTCAATTTGGTTTGATCTTTTCCCTTCGAGTATTCTTTTCCTCTGTCAACAGGAATTGTTCTATTTTCATGTCCTAGTGGCAGTTTCCAATTAATGAAGTGTTTTTTTTTCCCTAAAAAAAATAGTTTAATGAGTTACCTAATAATATTCACGGTTTGATTTTGGTTTTACCTAGATGCACATCTAACGGGAATCTCGAATTTCCACAAAACTGACAGCCCCTCAAGGTAGATTTTTATAATTTTGATTTCGGTATTTTCAAAACATTCATTTGTGTCTATGTACTTTTAATTTAACTTTTGTTCATTTTAGTCATCATACTTTCAGAGCGTCTATTTTGGTCTTGTACTTTTTAAATGACCAATTTGATCTTTATTTACAA